TCTACCAATAAACTCTACATCTAGCTTGTTAGCCAGTCCAAGTGCCGGGCCAGGATGTGAACGTTTTACAGTGCTGTATGACGGTCCTAACACATAACTTTTGTTCTTGGGTTGAGTAAAAAGTGAAAGTAAATTGATTCCGCGTAACAATCTATTACAGTCCTGTAAATATTTAGAAAAATTTGAAACTGGGTGACGGTCAATCAGTGAATTGTCTGCACTAATCTCAGTCAGGAGCTTGGTTAGTGTGAATTGAGAAGAATCGTGTAGAGTATGAAAGAGGAGTAGCGCACGCGTGTTATCCTTGTTGAAGTGTCACCATCCCTTGTCATCGATGCATTGGTGCTGATTACATTTCCTTGCGTTGTCCTCGAACACTGGGGTAATTCCTCATTTCGTGGTGATCCTCGTGTTGCCTTCCAGTCACGTGAAATCCGCGTTAGCAAAAGATTAGTCGAGCATGAAAGTACGACCATCTATAGAGCCGCAATCGAATCTAATAGTATGTAGATCAGACGGCGAAAAGTGCTTCCGCAACTACTCTAGGCAAAATTCCCTTCTAAAAGCTTCTGAAGCTGCAACAAGTCCTGTTGAATGCGACGTAGTGATGTGAAGTTTCAACTTTAGATATGAACTGCATCGTGAACTTTTTCTCTCTCATGCCTATCTCATTCCCATGTTTTGTAGACGATAGAGCAGTGACCTGCTGTTCCTCGGGGTCGCCTCTAATGAGCGTATTGATTCGGATACTTCCAGCGCCGCGCAGTAAACCTTCCCATCCCTCTGCATTTACGCAGCATTCGCTTTTTTTCAGAGAATTGATTTCCGGGTCTTCTTGGATTGCGTGTTATTTCTCTAGTAGTAACTGACTGTTGTTTGATTTACAATGTCGCCGTCATCTAAGGAGCGACCTTGAAAAATGAGTTTTAATGCGTCCCTTTCTTTCAAACAACAAATGAAAAATGTATACACTGCCTCTGGTGAGACTATACTCATCGGGTGGTGTGTCGTTCTCGGTCTCGACCAAATCCTGTTTTGGAAATAATTAATAAAAACTCAAAGTAACCTAATAATCAATATTATACAGGCTCAAGATTATTGTGTCGGCGAACAATTTTCCACGTGTATAATTGTTGAGATGTTGGTTACCTTGCTGTCTAGGGAAGTGTAAGGTATCGTATGAATGAATACGAGTGACATATGAGGTATGACAGCGGCATTAAGACATTGGTTTTTCTTGTGAAGTTTCAGAGCGCTACTTTTACGATGCTAATGTTGGTAGATGTTAAGGCTATGGAATTTAATCGAAATCTTATCGAATCATTGGCATAGGCATTATCTCACCTCATTTCCACTTTTACAGGCCCTTCTAGCGGACGGACATGATCCAGCGACGTATTTGTTTCGCGTGAACGAGCCTGTAGTACCATCAGACACGAACGCGAAACAGATGTCGCCTTCAGCCACACCAGTGGACACTGACGGCGAAGGCACTTTGCATATTTGTACGTTTATTTATTTTTCTAAACATTTTGAACTCTTCTTGTCTATTATATCTGCTTCACTTCGAAACCGATTGTCATCAGGGATGAGTGGGACCCCATGTTCCGTAATCCACGTCCTAGGAAGTTTCACTGGTTCTTAGCGGGGAGCTTGAATATATGCTTCAT